ATTGATTCAGCTATAAATTTACCTGAGAAAACTAAGAATCAAGATACATTTATCCTTCTCACTGAAAGCACCCCGTAAACACACAACTCATGCAATTGTTGCCAGGCTAGCTCTAGATCTCCTCTTAAATCTCCCCTAAACTTTGTATTGTTCCAACCATTTCCAAAAACCTTATCCACGGTAATGTTCAGACCGATGTTAACATTACAAAGCTTAGGGAACCTTGCACAAAGTGGTTTTTATTTCTAATCCAGACATCCTCACACACGCAATGCTTGGAGTATGCTTCTCGGTCGCCGTGTCGACATTGAAGTGGCACCACCCACTCGTGTGGACATGTAGGTCTGACCGTTATCAATGTCGTGGAGTCACGTCTACTCTGGAGCGGCGATGACCGGCATGAATACGCGGCAATCACTTCGCGTGGAGAGGTTTTTTTTGTCAGAAGGGTTTTTGGATGGGACTAGGGTAGCAGACGCGTGCATGGCAGTGGTCTGGACGCCCGGAAAGCCCTCTGGTTGACCCGTAAAGTCCTCTGATTTGCCTCCGGTTTTGTGAAAAACGGATGTTCGGACCAATTTGCCGGACAGCTGGGATGTTGCGTTGGATGGCAAATTACGTCCGGACCACTCGATCCGGACGGGCGAGCAGTTTGAGGGTCCGGGCTAGAGATGCCCTTGCATCTTTTTGGCCGGGAGGTTTTCTCTACGCAATCCGGGTGGGACCACAACTTATGTTTCAGCAGTAGGTGATCAGCGCCACGAGGGACGGGGTTTAAGCTAGTACAGCTTGCTACGCGGCTACGCATGCCGTAGTTTTCCGGTAGCTGATCGATCATGTCTTGCCTACATGGAACGCGACCGTGGCTGGGCAGCGGCGAGGAAAGCAGACGTACGTGTGGTTTAATGTCAGAATGGACTTTTGTCTACCCCTGCGCTGCGACAAATAGAGAAACTCAGCTCGATCGTCCACTAGGATCTGGACATGGCCGAAGCACTCCTCGCAGGAACACATGCGCCAAATCCAAATACGTAGGTTCACACATGACACATGGATCATGAGCATGCGTCTACATTACATACGGTGCTTACCTAAGGCCGGTGCTAACCCAAAGGTCGACCGATAGGTGAGTGCGTGACTTTGTCGCACTGATTATTAAGGCTCAATGCTTCATGGAAATATATAGTTAGTTCACTTGTCGCTTTTAATTTTGCTGGGAAGCACATTGTTTTTCGGAAAGGGGTACCCCGGCCTCTGCATCACCGGACCTTAATTTATTTTTCTGCGAAGCACTTGTCTCTCAGACAGCTCTGTGCTGATACTCCCTCCGTCCGGAAATACTTGTCATCAAAATAGATAAAAGGGGGTATATCTAGACATATTTTAGTTCGAGATACATTTATTTTTATCTATTTTGATGACAAGTATTTTCGGATGGAGGGAGTATTTGTGAGTTGTAACTCACGACTTGCGTGACTAATGTTGAATCTAATTAACTTGTCTTGTGCGTACGTAACCTTGGTTTCTTAGTTCTTACTATACATAGACATGTGTAATTGTCAGCGTATACCTACGCCAACATCATGCAACTAAAGCACTACAAATACCCCTTGAAGGGCCACTTAATTAGAGGACTGCTTATGATGATGATACACTAACCCTAGTTGCCTATTAGCCTGTTTATTTTTCCTTCAAGTGTACCTCACTGTATTTTCTGTTCTATTTCACTTGTTCACGGTTGTGGGAGAGGCTTGGTTTCGGTCGTGTACTCTTCTTCTGTCTATTAATACACACGCATCCCTCTTGAATGGTTCCAAAAAAGATGATACAACAAGAGGACTTGGCTCCAAGCAGTGCAACTATATTAAAGGTTGTTGCATGTACTGAGTAAAAACGAACAGAACATTACGAGAAAATCTTGGCATTGTTTCGGGTAATCGGCTGAAAAATCCCACGGAACTACACGAGCAATCTGTGGGAGTTTTGCTTGGGGACACCCCTTTAAAAGTTTGCATTAATCTTAAAGTTACTTAAAAAGGCTACTACCATCTTAGCCTGCCGATCAAACATATTGAATAGATTGATTTGAATATAAAATATTATATTATCCATTTTCGTTGAAGGGGTACTACCTCCATCCAATTTTATTAGGGCCTTTTTCGTATTTTGTGCCTAATTTTGACTATAGATTCAACTAATAAAATATAAGTTATACATCACAAAACTTGTATTGTTGGATTTATATCCGAAAGAGGTTTCAATGATACTATTTTTGTGGCATATAACTTATTTTTTGGTAGTTAAGTCAAATGTCAAAGTTTGATTCCCTGCAAAAACAAAATGTCAAAGTTTGATCCAAAATACAAGGGGACTAATAAACCCAGACAAAGCTAGTACCTTCTAATCTCCGCCTTTAATCTGCATCAAAATCTGTGAACATTTCTGATGGCGGGAGGTATGTACCGAAGCAATGTGCGTCCCTGTGGTAATAAAGTTTTGGAAGATCCTGTGTCGTGGGGTTGAAAACGACACCACAAATTGTACCGTCATCAAATGTAAACAACTAGCGAAGCAGCAAACATATAATATACTACACCCTTTGTTCCTAAATATAAGACGTTTTCAGTTCAATTTAAACTGTCAAAATGTCTTACATTTAGAAGCAGATGTAGCCACCGCACCTCGCAGTGGCTGCTCGGTTCTTCTTTGTCGACTTGCTTGTTCGTGGGAGGTTGTGGTTGGTGGTCTTGTCGGTGTTGGATTGACGTGCTGGTGCTAGTAGCTTGGGGTGAAAACACTGTCTCATCCATGGGCCTTTGACCGGCGATGACGGCGGCCATGGGCCTTTGACCGGCGATGACGATGGCCTTGGGCGCCATAGACCTTCTTGGAGGCATCGTCGCATTGCTATTGCACCCTTCCCATGTTGGATCCGGTCCTGAGTGATCGGATGATGGCGGCGTCTTGGCGTTGTATCCCCTCTCGAGGGCTTCATCTTTGTAGCTGGGCATCGGCAAGTGGGACCGGAGGTGATGAAGTTGGCGCTGAGGCTTCTGTGGCAACGGTGTCACGGGGAACGATGTAGGAGACGTGGCTTTGGTTGAGGTAGTCGGCTCTTCTTCGGCGTGTTCGTGGGAAGGCCACGGCTGGTTTGGTGCTTTGAAGTCGAAGCTGCGGTGGCGGGGCCATGTGGTGTACGTTGACGGGTAGCAGGTGGTTCGTTCGGTGATCTTCCACGACGCCAGCCTTGCCTGGTTCTCCTTCGTAGCTTCCTGTTGTTGTCGGAGCTGCGATGTCTCGTCGCGGTGGCTGAGGTTCGGCGCAGGTCTTCATGTGACTACACACATCATTTTCAGTGTGGGTTGGTTCGAGGATCGTCTTTGACGAAGTCGGAGTCGTTTCACAGAGTTTGGGATGGCGATGACGCCTTTAGGGGAGAAGTAATGATGATAATGTCGTTGTATTGTCTCGACGAGGCCCTTTCTGGAGTGGCGTGTGTGGGTATTTTATGTGTGCCGCTCAGCGGTTTGTTATGGTTTTCGTCCGGTTTTCCATTAATTAATTGGGCAATTTTTTCTGCCTATTTAATGGATGAGGCAAATCTTTTGCCTTCGCTTCGGAAAAAAAAACAGATGTAGTACTTATAAGTTGTGACCAAATTTCTGGAGAAGTGCGGACAAGGGAGGGGAAATGGCCACCTTATCTTGCTAACAAGTCAAGCCAAAGGAAGGGTAGAGAAAATCCTAGTACATTTTCCGTTAAATAGCTAGGTAGATCGCCTACGCACCCAGCATTTCCTTGCGTTCCACCTCAATCAAAAAAGGGAAAAGCTACAGCGACACTTACACCGAGAAAGGCAGCACGAGAAAATTATTACAAAGCAGCGTTGACTAGGACGTGCTAGTGCAGTCGTCTGAGTTCTTATTGGCACTTTCCAAAAAAAAGGAGGGTGAATTTGAGGAGACCTTACTCCTCTGCCGATAGATCATGTAATTTTCTGTTCAATTTTACATTTTTGAGCAGTAGTTAATACTGTGAAATGGACGCAGAATGTTTTTTTTTTTGAGCATCAGTACAGACACAAGCGTTCATGTACACGCGCATACACTCATCTCTATGAACACACACACACACCCTACCCCTATGAGCATCTCCGAGAGACTGAGCCGGCATATCATCTTGAGATTTACGAAGTCACCGTAGGCACCTCGTCGTCGACGAGAACGTCTCCTCCCACTGAAAGCGCATCGCTGGAAATCCTGAAATAAATTCAGGAATAATGCGAGCACCAGGATTTGAACCCTGGTAAGTTGAGGATACCACTGCCCACCTAACCAACTCAACCACAGATTGATTCGCTAGTAGTACTAATATTTTGTTACCCAGTCAAACCAACCATGCTCAAGATGTTGTGACCTCTGTGTGGCCGATAATAAAGTTATAATGCCTTTCATCAGCTTAGAAATGCTCGTCAAATCCGAAAAAGGGAGGAGAAATGCTCAACGTGTAACTAGGCGGAGTAAAGACAATATGAACCATAACAGAAAACGGTGTGCATAAGGCATAACCCAATCTTCGACTCCATTTCATTATACTGCATTTCATTTCAGAGTATATGTATATAAAACATCGCCATTTTCCTTCATTTCATTATCCAGATTCCTATCATCTCACTTTGCATGCATGTGTGCATGCTGCACCCACGCATATGTCGTTAGAAGAGTTGAGGTATCAAATCTAGACTTGCCGAAAGTTCGAAGGATGAAAGATGAACGACAAATGAAAAACAAATGAATTCAGGGTAGTTATGCATGTCTTCACTTATTTTCTTACTACCTCTCCCTCTAATTGTTCTAGTATGGCCAACTAGGTGCACCGCCGATGAACTTTTACTGGGCAGTAATTAACACATAAGCACGCAATCGCATACGGCAAGGCAACTACTCATTCGTTATAATAAAGAATATGATATTGGTATCAACGACGACGAGCTGCTTCGTTCAAGCCCATGTCTCCTGGTGATCAAACAGGGCGATCCTCTGGTACGCGTTGAAGGCGTCCTCGAACTCCCACGCCGACGTCGGCCCGGTGACCACGTCGACGTCCAGTCCCGTCATGAACATCGGCTCCACCGGCCACTCCATGATCTTCGGCAGCCAGTTGTCCTCGAAGCCGCCGCCGCCGCTCGACGCCGCCGAGGCGGACGACGAGGACGAGGACGACTCGGCTGGTGACGAAGCCGTGCCGCAGCTGCTGTCGAGCGGCGCCGGTTCCACGACGTCGCATGGCAAGATGATGTTATCCAGAAGTTGCATCATGGTCGGCACCTCGTCGGGGCAGAACATGTCCTCTTCGGCACCTGACTGACTTCCCGTGGCCGCCGCGGCCGGCACCTTCTGCTCCGGCGATTCACCACCGGTAGGCCGCTGCGGATGCTGATAGGTAGCAACAGCAGCAGGCTGGAGGGGCTTGTGGGTGGCGGGGTCGATGCCCATCTTCCTCAGCTTCTTCTTGATGTGCGTGTTCCAGTGGTTCTTGATCTCGTTGTCGGTCCGGCCGGGCAGGTGGGAGGCGATCTTGGACCACCTGTTGCCGAGCTGCTCGTGCAGGTCGATCACCGTCTTCTCCTCCTCGTCGGAGAGCAGCCCGCGCTTGAGGTCCGGCCGAAGGTAGTTGGTCCACCGCAGCCGGCAGCTCTTCCCGCACCGGAGCAACCCTGTTCACAGAAACGCAAGTCACAACACGTCAAAACATTGGTCAATCAAAGAAAGGTCGTCGGCTGTGGGTCGTGACCAGAGTATGCATGCATGTAATTAGTCAAGCTAACCGGCCGGCTAGCCGGCCGGCGAGCAAGTGCAGGCAGTGAGTGACCCACCGGCGAGCTTGGGGACGGCTCTCCAGCAGCATTGGCCGTTGCTGAGGAGGAAGCTGACGAGCTTCTGGTCCTCCTCCGCCGTCCACGGGCCTTTCTTCAGCCCCACCTTGTCGCAGCACGGCTGCCTCCCCATTGCCACGAGCTTTGTTTGCACACACAAAGATCACTTCACTCGCAGGGAAATATCACCAAGCAACGTCGAGCCAACTAACCAAGCTCGTAGCAAACAGCTGCAAACTTTTTCTTTATATTTTTTAGCTCTGTTTTGGTGGCACAGGTACACAATAGCTAGCTAGCAAATGGCGGTTTAGCTTTAGCTACATGGTGAGACGCCATTGCCACCTTCCTTTATAAAGGAGGGGGAGGGAGAAGAAGACAAAGGGGCCGGTGGCTAAAAGCTTAGCCGAGGCACCATCAACTGGCGACTAACCGGAAGTAGAAAAAAAATAGAATCGCAGTGCGGCTAGCGCGTGTGCGCGCGGAGGATGGACCTTGGACCAGTACTGGAGCTAGCTAAGGACGACGTGTCGTGGCGCCGCAGAGGCTGGCGCGTGGGGCCCAGCCGTCGGCGTCGCCGCTTTGCCGGGCTGCTGCTCATGGGTCCCTTTTGCTTGCGTTGCAAGTGCTGGCCTGCTAAGCTTTCAAGCTTTTATTTGGATCCTCGTTTGTTGCTCAATCAAGGGGTTTCAACGGGATTAATTTTGGGGCATGTAATGTGTCCATTCCATCGAGTCATTATCATTTGTTTAGCTTCTAAACATACTAATTGTATTGGCCTCCATTGTATCAAAGTCCTTCATTTTGTAGTTTTTTAAATTGAAATAACAGGGTAAATGGTAATCCCTTCGTTCCATAATTCTTGTCATGGTGTGGTTTTAGCTAAAACCAAGACAAGAATTATGAAACAGAGGGAGTAGCGTGATTGCATATTTTTTTTTACTTGTTGTGTCCATCGGGTTGGCTCAAAAATGCAGTTTCTGCATAACAATTTACACATGTTGTGCTCCAACTTAGATCACACCCATGATCAGTGTGGTAAAGAAAGGACAGACCCAGTGCATAGAAGCTCCCACACAAACTGGGGGCTGGGGAGGGATTAAAGAAATCTAGTCTTACCCATGCAAATTGCAATGCAGAGAGACTGGTTCAAACACAGGATCTCTTGACATAAGTGGGGAGGACTTCACCACTGCGCTAGGCATGCCCTCACCCATGATCAGTATGGTGTGTACAAAAACAAGATGTATGCATGCAACTTCAGGTAAAGCCAATAATGCACGTACAACTTTCATGCCAGGCTCCCTACCACTATTTGTCTGCAATGCTAATCCAAAAAAACTGACACCTGACACCTGCTTGTGATTAGTGCCCGTTTCCTGTATGTATTTCAACAATCCACTAGCTTAACCTACAAGCACGGATCTCGAAGCTCCCCGATCACACGGTGACTACCTAGGTGGCATATATCCCCGATGGCATGGAACTATTTCTGTATTATTATATACTCTCTTTGTTGCTAAATATAAGATGTTTTAGCATTTTTCTGATTCACATGTATCTAGACCCGTTTTAATGTGTATGTTCACCCATTTCAATATGTATGTAGTCTACATTGAAATTATCTAAAACACCTTATACTTACTTATTTAGGAACGGAGGGAGTAGGATACAATTTCATCTTACAAAGAATAAACAATTCCCATGTTCTAATTAATACTTTCATAATATATCCCATGAATTTTTAGATTAACAATCTCTTAAGTCCTAATTCAGAACTGTGCCACAGATTTCCTGCACGAGGCCTGCAGCTTTATCATTGTCGAGTGTTGCGCTTTGTGTTTATGTTCAAATGATGTTTGTAAAGGTATGAAGTATGGCGGTGTTGGCTCGACAAGTAGGGCGGTAGCACGATGTGATTTCGGTTCGGTGGTTCTCTCGAAACTAGATCTTTATCTTCTAGGTGCAAACTCTAGATCTAGTCCGTGTATATAGGTCGTTCTCTAGTTGAATCATTGTCCATGGATTTCTCAGGCCTGCACTTTGGGGGGAAAACACACAGTTTGGCCTTTAGAGGTTGGAACGGGCAATGGCGCCACATGCGCATCATTTTGTTTTTGGGAGTGTTACTTGTGGAGAACATTTTGAGACTTCTTATGTTCCCAAAGATGGTGGCCGATGTTGATGATTGCTACTCCATACTATTGACAGTTTCTTGTGTGACGTTGTTTTTTTCTTTCTATTTTCAAATAATTTGATTGTGTGCATCCTTTATGCCTTTTTGCCAGAATCATCCTCTATGTCTCGACTGACTCTTACGATTAGTTGCTACATAGACCGGATATACTTGATATTAGCTTGATGTTAATAATACCGTCAATCGTTCTAAAATTACGGTGCTACTTATGTGGTGCCCAAACCTAACTTTGATGGTGGGAATTAACAACTCCCCTACACTCTTGTTGCCAACTCCCCAAACTATACTGCCAAGTAACGAGATTCTAGTTAACAATTGACAACTCCCCCAAAGAGAGGGAGAGAGAGATCAAAGAGCGACAGGAATTAAATGATCTATAAGCCCCAAATTAACTATGTAGAGTTGAACAACGCGACCATACTCGGACAAATATTTTATCAAGCTCGTGACCAATCCTACATTACGACCATTTCTCGATATAATTAATTAGCAGCTTCATCCTCTTCTTCAGCGGGGGAAACGCGGTTGTTGTGAACTTGACCTTTGAAGAGTTCAGTCCATATTTTGCCAAAAAATAAAAAGTTGAGTCCATTTATTACTTTAGAGATTCAGGTGTCACCTGCAAAGGGGATATTGCTAATTAACACGATTAGGGTAGAAACAAATAAGCAGCAGCGGTCAATAATTCAGAGGTCTGCAGCCGCAGTCTTCTCGATCTTCTCCGGACCGCATTTTGGTAGGCTGGAGACCTTGACCGACGCCGATCGATGCCGCTGGAGGGCGTTGGGGGTTGACAATGGCGCTCGCTGCCAGCAGCGCAAATGAAGGTCCGAACAACGAACAAGTTTCAGTCACAAGTGTGTTTTGCTGACATTCTGGACAGTACGCGTTGCACTTGCACTAGAGCCATAAACTAATGATCGTATATCCACTTCCCAGAGAGATAGTGGAGCGTTTTGTCAACAAAATACGGTGTTCGTAGCAAGACCGCGTTCTACGGAAAATGGATACGCGCTCTAGCTATCGAGTCTACGGACGATTAATCGATCGGTACGCGCCCGATCGAGCACGCTCCGGAGGTAACAATGACATCGATATAGTATTGATCAAAGAAGCTAGCTAGTAGTTTGCTATTCGGAAATTCTGACCATGTGTCAGGCAAGCATCCAGCCAACGGCACAGCCAGTATATACAATACCGAGCCAGGACTTCAGAATGAGCAGTTCGTCCGTTGACTGACTTCACGAGCAAGACATACATGCTTGCATGCATCCGATTCTCTAGGTCAGTTCCGTGTACATTGGTCTACTCTACTCACCGGTCTCCCACAAGTATTTACTAAATCAGTTTTGATTCAACTCATCAGTCTGAACCCCGTAGAGCGCTTTCAGCTGTGTACGTAGAGCCTTCAGTTATAAGCTGGGTTGGTTCCGGTCAGAATATACGTATATTTCCTCCGTTCCTAAATGTAAGTCTTTGTAGAGATTTCACTATAAATCACATATGGATGTATATAGATACATATTAAGTGTAGATTCATTTATTTTCCTCCGTATGTAGTCCACCTAGTGGAATCTCTATAAAGACTTATATTTAGAAACGGAGGGAGTAGTAATCACAGTAGAATTAAGCACTATGCGTAATGTGTAGTGTTACTAGTCAGTGCACATGGTTTCTTTAAGCTTACAATTAGCATACACCACTCCAAAGTCGCCTGTTATTAGGACTTCCAAAAGGAATTTTTGCGGGCACACGTGGACAGTTGCAGTTGGTCATTCCAATTTAATCTGGTCTTCTTCTGAATATCTCCACACCAATACCGATGGCAGCATACATGCATGAAACTTAAAAAAGATAGTAACCAGGGTGTGGTTAGCACTTGTCTGTCATGAGGCTTGTGCAACCATGCATCCGGCTAGCTACTTCCACGTAAAGAAAGTGAGAACGCGACGAGCAGCAGCAATGCGGGGTGGTCCAAAGATCGTGTCCCTGAACGAACCCAACAGCATGCATGCATGCAAGAAGGCAACCCTTTGACTACCGCAGCACCATTGCCGCCGGTGCTGCTTTTGCTCATCTCTACACCACACCCACGTACTGAAACTGTATTCCGCGTGTCGCCGGGCCTCGCTGCGGTAGACCGGCGTCCACGCGAACGGCATGATCGATCTTACATTTTACACCATGGGTGATCATTTGTCTAGCCCGTGGAGTGTGGAACTGCCGTTAGTTATGTATGGACAGTTCATGAGTGCCCTTCACTCCATGGCAAGGGCACACGTCTGGGACAACCCTGCGCTGCTACTTGCCTTGGAATCCACTGATGGCCCGAAGGGTGGTGTACTTCAGTTAGGACGAGGAGCAGCCGTGGTTTCCTACCTCTCCCGTGGGGACATGGCTGGCTGCCTTCACTGTCTCACAAAGTGTTTCCTATCACGCATGACACGTTCACACCTCCTTTGAGATGGCTCTCCACTCCAGTGTGACATCTTCTTTAGGCTATGTTCGTTTAAACCTCTCTTGGAGAGGATTGGAGAGGTTTGGACGGGATTGAGGTGAACTTTGACTTATAGGGGATTTAATCCTCCCCAATCCACTCCAATCCTCTTCAAAACTCTTGCAACCGAACAGGCCCTTAGGAGTATATGTAACGAGGGATCCCATACCGCGGTTCTTCAGAATTATAATGTGCTCTCTTTTGCAACATCTCCATCATCAGTAAATAAAGATTGATTCGTTTCACGAGACCGATCGATCGCCGGAGCTTTGGCTCATTGGCTGCATCCTGGGTGCCTTTCATGGAGTCTCGTCGGCGGGTCGGTCTGACGGCGACGACTGCGTTCTGCGCCTTGCAATGGAACTGCCGACTTGAAGTCCATTTCTTCGACAAAGGACTGCAAGTCCATAAAGTCTGCATCTCATTCCACGTATGAAAACAC